TCAAACTTGAGTCACTATTTTTAGGACTTGAGACTTGACTTGATAAAATCGACTAAGACTTGAGGACTTCAGAAGTACTTTTAAATCTGAATTTGTTCTATTCTGACCGTAATGATTCACACTAAGATCTTGTCAAGACATTTAAAAAGGAAAAAATGTATGTTTCTCCAACTCTTATATACTCTATAAATACTCATATAAATATACAGTGATTTTTTTTAAGTACAATTTAATTTAAAATTCATATAAATTGTGAAAATCTAAGTTACTTTGGTTTGGGGACTTGAAATGACTTGAGCTAAAAGCAGACGACTTGGACTTGACTTGGACTTATGGGCCAGTGACTCGAGACTCGACCTGGACTTGCCTGTCTATGACTTGGGACTTGACTCGGACTTGAGGTCAAAGACTTGAGACTTAGTTAAGACTTGCAAAACAACGACTTGGTCCCACCTCTGCTTTTGAACAGTAAAATTTATACATAAATAAACGATAGATACTTTAAAGACACATCTTAAAAATGTGAAAAAACAGATCTAGTTCATTTAAAAATGTTTGCAATGGTTATAATAAGTTATTCCTCATTTACTTTATGCATTCAGAGCATCCTAACTATTCACCGAGATGAGTTTATAAGCACTTTTTCACAACTCAAGCTTTGCTGTGATGGTAAATCTGACTAGAATTAGTAATAGTAGTAGTAGTAGTAGTTTATTCTGCCATTTTGCAGCACTATAACAAAACAAAACCTACACTACAGTCCCATAGATCATTACCAAAAGGGTTTAGGCTGAAGTAAAAAGTACTTATCATGCCTAACCCTATTAAACAATGACAGAATTCCAAGAAAAAAAGCAGCGTATATGAACAGCAAGTTTACATTTACAATTTCACTTACGACTTACTGTATATATAAGAGACAAAATATAAATTAAAACAAAAACATTTTATGCATAATTCATTCACTCCAGAGCTCTATATCTTCCAAAACAAAATGCTTTAACACTATAGAAGCCTTTAAAAAATAGTATAGACTTTTTCTATACATATACTAACCCCTTTAACAGAAATACAATCACTTTAATTCTTAGTTTCTTAATTCTTATCTTAATTTCTTTAAAGATACCTGTTGCTCTGTGGTTATACTGACTCTCTCTCTGCTCAAATAACTCCTGTAAACAAGGAGGAAGCAGATGATTATAGGCCTTGTGCATCACTACGGCTTAACTCAGGTCAACAAGATCAAAATATTTTAGTATTTTTAGCTTGACAAAAAGAGGATTTGTTGGTGCATAGCATGATAAATAATCTTAATAACCTTCTTTTGGAGTAGAAAATTTGTTTTAGTATTCCCCATGTTTCCACAAAATAGTTTAGGTATGGAAGGAATAAAGTAAACTGCAAAAAGTTATATAGTAAATAAAGGGAATTTTGATTTAGAAGTCTTTTCATTTTACTCATTATAGCAACAATTTTAGCAAACTTTGTCTGAATCATATTTATTTGCATTTTCAGAGTTAAGTTTTTCATCATGAACATCCAAGAATTTATTAACACATACTCTTTCAATACTATTTCATTCTAACGTGCACTTCCTGATTATGGCCAGTGTTGGGGAGTAACAGATTACATGTACTGGAGTTATGTAATCAGAGTACAAATTATGAGTAACTGTATTCAGTTACAGTTACTGTTTTAATGAGTGGTAATTGGATTACAGTTACTTTGTTGAAATAAATGGATTACACAGCGGTATTTTCCTGTTTTCGCATTTTGGGCTATATCCTCCACCCCCCACCCCCCCCCACCCTTTTTTTTTTTTTCAGGTATAAACCAGGTCTAAACCAGGTTTGAAACCAGGTCTAAACCAGGTCTAAACCAGGCCTAAAGCAGGACTAAACTAGGTCTAAACTAGGTCTAAACCAGGACTAAACCAGGACCAAACCAGGACTAAACCAGGACTAAAACCAGGTCTAAACCAGGTCTAAATCAGGACTAAAACCAGGTCAAAACCAGGTCTAAACCAGGTCTAAACCAACACTAAAACCAGGTCTAAACCAGGTCTAAACTAGGTCTAAACCAGGTCTAAACCAGGACTAAACCAGGACCAAACCAGGACTAAACCAGGACTAAAACCAGGTCTAAACCAGGTCTAAACCAGGACTAAAACCAGGTCTAAACCAGGTCTAAAACAGGATTTAACAGGACTAAACCATGCTGCATGGACCCTGTCTCCTCGTCTTCTTTCAATAATATTTTTAATATGGCTCAGTAAAGTCTGGACTTTTTATTTTCTTTTATCAGACAAAACATCTTTTGTGAAGATTTCCTCGTCTTTGCTTCTTTACAGCAAGTCAAGTAATCCAAAGTATTCAGATTACGTTACTCACTTTAAGTAATTTAATGGATTATGTTACAAACTACATTTTGGGGTGTGTAATCTGTAATCTGTAGGGGAATACATTTTAAAAGTCACCTTCCCAACACTGATTATGGCACAATGAAACCTGTTATAGTTCAGTGCAGGCAACACTCAGCTGACTTATTCTGAACTCAAGTGCTGCTTATACAATAAATCTGCACTGGAAAAAGAGAAACTTTATCTCAAATACATGGGAATAAATGAGGTACAGGGCCTTTAATATCAACACTCACAGAAAAGTTACACAATGCACCTTTAAATGTGACCAAATATAAGCAGAAAACAGACTAGTTAAAGTGCATATGACAGTTTTTCGTGTTTTTCTATTACTTAGTTTGGTAAATATTTATCATAGTTTGCAGGTGAGTGTGAGTTTCTGGAAGAGGTCGAGAAGAAAGGCACGAAAAACACAGGAGTTAACGGTGAGTTAAAAAAAAAAAGGTGATAAAAGTGCTGTCATCTATTTTTAGTAGCCTAGTCAAATCATATCTAACGTGTAATTTAGTTTTGGCCCTTGTTAACATTACGGTTGCTAGGTAACAGTTACGAAATTACCTCTGCAAATGTCTAATCTGCTGCTCGTGTCCAACCAGGAGGTAAAATTATAAACAAAAATGAAATTTGGGGAAACTTGGTCCAATCTTGGTCAAAAAATGTTGTCTAATCTACCATAAGCTCTTTAAAGGTCTTATATTACACTATTTTCTGTTTAGTGTTATAACGCAGGGGTGTCAAACTCAAATTCACAGAGAGTTAAAACTGTGTGGTCAAAAGTCATGGGCCAAACTAAATATTTATTGAAAAATTTCTCATGTTTTTTCTTCTTTCGAGATATGTAATGTTAAACTATTTCTTATTAAAATAAATGTTTAATAATAGTTTTGCTTAAACATTGAATCCAGAACAAGCAAAATATGAAATAATAACAAAATTTTAAATAAATAATGTCTCTATAGTCGATCTGTAGCTGCCAGGCCAGCTCTAATACATGTTTGATATGATCACGCGGGCGAAATATAATTATATCGCAGGCCAAATTTGACATGTCTGTTGTAACGTTTCCTCATTACAAACATACTTGGAGTTGTGTTTTGTTTCATTCACGCACGTTTAACACACAAATTCTGCATATTTAAGCTGATTTCTTCCCTCAAACATAAAAAAAACACCCTGTTACCCCTTATGATGTTATGTGGTAATACACAGCAAAAAGTGGAGTGTTGAAATTGACTCTCACTGAATCAATTTTAACATTTTCTCAGGGTTTATATGAGTCCAATCTGTTGTAGAGTTAATTTAACATTTTTGGAAATGTTAATTAAGTAACACTGGACCAAAGTTCCTGTTTAACCCCAAAATCAAGAGTTACATGAACGTTATGAGAGTAAACAGATAACACTTTGTAGAGTTATCCTGATTTAGCTGAACAAAACACAGAGGTGTTTTATTTTTACACTTTTAGTTAATTACCTCCGCCAAGGAGGTTATGTTTTTGCCGGCGTTTGTTGTTTGTTTGTTTGTTTGTTTGTTTGTCTGTTTGTTTGTTTGTTTGTCTGTTAGCAACATAACTCAAAAAGTTATGGACCGATTTTGATGAAATTTTCAGGATTTGTTGGAAATGTGAAAAGGGAGAACTGATTTCATTTTGGGGGTGATCCAGAAGAAATCCTGGATTCTGGATCACTTTGAAATTTTTGTTAACATTGTGGTAAATGGGGCCAAAAATTTTGTTTCTCAATATCTCGGTTAATTATTGACCAAACCCCATGAAATTTGACTCAGGGATGGACAATGGGATCCTCTTTCATATTCCAAATTGAAAGATACGAGACAAATATTTATGGAAAACACAATTAATATGAGGGGGACTGTAGTCCTTGGTGGAGGTCTGCGCTCTCTGAGTGCTTTTCTAGTTTAAGATGAAATTATGAACAAAACTGGTTCAAACGGGTCGTCTGGTGGGTGGGGAGACAAAATAACACTACTGAAGTTCAATTAACTTCAATCATATCAACTCTGGCACATAACCCCAACTCGAACCCCCATTTAACACTTCCAATAGTTAAAAAAACACTTTCTGTGTTAAAAACAACTCTGAAACAATTTACCCTGGAATTTTAACCCTCCAGTTTTTGCTGTGTACAGGAAGTGCTCCACTGTGTTTTTAAACTCCATACACCTTCACCAGATTCATTTGGATGACTTAGCTTTTAAACTTGGAAACTACTGCTTCATGACATCACAAGGTGGAACAGAACATTTTGAGCTTTAGAGATGTAAACAAACTAATAATAAAGGCTGACGTAAACATGTGTGAATGGAACAAAACACAGCTCCAGGTCTGTTTTTGATGACGTACCGACATTATAACGCGGCTTAAAGCTCACACGAGTCAGTTCTGCGTAATATAACACCTTCAGCATCACTATAACTAAGTGGTTATTGTGGCCCCTATGTCTCTACCACAGTGTGTTTGAGGTGGTGAAAGCCAAATGTCCGTGTTGACAGTAAATGCAACATTCTGGTCATGTTTAGTCAATAGGAGGGTGGTTTTACGACGCAGGACACACACACGTACCTTCTTAGACCTCTGCGAAATCTTTGGTGCGCGACTCAAAAGCTTCTCCACCAGATATTCTTTGTTCTGTGGAAAGGAAAATGCAAGTCAGAGGGTTTAAACACTGGAATATTAAATCAAGGTTAGAGGAAGTCGGGCAAATCGTATTACGTGAAGCAGGCCTGAAATGAATGAGTTATTGTGGGACTGTTGACAATAAGATTTCAGCGCGGCTTCATTCTGCTTCTTAATAATAGTTTAAGTTTGAAACGGTGATTTCCTGGTTGAGCTGCAAAGTATAGGCCCAGCTGTATGCAAGTTCAGAATGGATAGATGTGCCTGTCCATTCAGAACAACAGAGAAAAAAATAAAAATAGGTAAATAGTCACATTTTTATACAGCGCTTTTCCACCTTTAAGACACTTAAAGCACTTTACATCAAAAAGCGACTCACATATTCACACACACATTCATACATTAGTGTACACAGACACAGGGGAAGAGGTGGGTTAAGTGTCTTGCCCAAGGACACAACGACAACATTCATCTCTGGGAGCTGGAATCGGACCAATAACCTGTTGGTTGCTGGATCTGACAGCACAAGCAATGATTTTCATGTCAGAGACTGATTCCTTTAAAGGGACAGTCCAGAATTTTGGATATAGGACCTCATTTCCTAGTGAGCCAGAGTGTTGGAGACGTGTGGAGACACTTTTTTAAATATTCCATCCAGTCCTTGTATTTGCAGAGGTCGCTGGTGCTAGACTAGTGCATGTCAATGGCCATAGTTATCCTGCCACTAAAAACAGTCTTGCCCACTCCAAAAAGCATTAAGGATGTAACAATAACCGAAAAATCGTGATATTGTTAGGGGTGTCAAATTATCGCGTTAATTGCGATTAATTAATTACAGTCATATTTAGCGCGTTATGTTTTTTAATCGCGTTAATCTCATTTTTAATCTCTAACTTTAGTGTTTCTGTATGTGAGTTTCTTTATTATAAAACCTGTTTTTATGTGTTGTTGGGACAACAACACACACACACACACACACAAAACACATTTATACATTTTTTTATTTCGGTAATTCCCCTCATTGCCGGAAAACCCACACAAAACGCGCGCAGTAACAGCGTAAGTAAACGTCATGTTAACGTTGGCGGCGTCAGTCGCACAATGGACGAGGTCGAAGAGCCAGTAGAACAGAGGCAGCAGTGCACAGGTAAAAACACATTCGTGTCTTGGAAATTATTCTCCCGACGTGAAATATAAAAGAAAATAACAAATATAATATCGCCTGAAAACAACCTGCATAGGCTCATGATCTCTGCACTACTGTCCTATAGTGACCTGCCACATGAGGGGACACGCACACAAACAACACAAACACACACAAACACACACACACACTTCATCATCGTCATTAACCTGAGAACGCGCTGACCACGTTTCCTTCCGTAGACACTGCGCGGACATCGCTGTCCTCCCATGAGCCGCGTGTGGATCGTGTTTTCTCGCGTACACGGCGTAAACCGAGCTTCCTCCTGTGAGCCTCTAAACCAGAACTAACACCAAGACTAAAACCAGGTCTAAACCAGGACTAAACCAGGACTAAACCAGGACTAAAACCAGAACTAAAACCAGGTCTAAACCAGGTCTAAACCAGGTCTAAACCAGGTCTAAACCAGAACTAAAACCAGAACTAAAACCAGAACTAAAACAGGACTAAACCAGGACTAAACCAGGACTAACACCAGGACTAACACCAGGACTAACACCAGGACTAACACCAGGACTAAAACCAGGATTAATCCATTCCAGGACTAAACTAGGACTAAAGTAGGTCTAAACCAGGTCTAAACAAGGACTAAAACCAGTGATCTCATATATAAAGCATTTCTCTATCAATAATATTTTTAATATGGTTAAGGAAAGACTGGACTTTTTATTGTCTTTAAGTCGACAAAAGTTATTATGTTCAGATTTCCTCGTCTTTGCTACTTTACAACAAACAGTTTCTTATTCATGGAGACTTGGGCTCAACAGCCAATTTGGAGAGATTTGTTAAACAATAAATTACTTTATAAAGTCACTTTTTTAAATCTATATCAGTCTTTTGATCTGAAATAATGTAATAATGAATTTAAATGAAAATACCTCAAATTGAAGGCTTTTCTCAGCAATTTTTAGGTGAGATTAAAATGAGATTAATGAGATTAATTAATTACAGATCATAATTAATTAATCTCTCAATTTTTTTAATCGCATGACAGCACTAGATATTGTATCGTCAAAGTTCTCACTATAATATCGTGGACCATCACAATAAATCGAATTACAAGTCTCTTTGCTTAAATTAAGAGTTATGGTGCAGCAATAGCTAAAAAAAAAAGACAGAGGGAACTACATAGACCATGATCCTTTGCTCCATTTCAACATCAACTACAAGAAGAAAAAACAGTTCTAAGCACTTTTAAGACTTAGTTCTTTGGCAAGTCTTGTTAAGGCATTTTAAGAGGAAAAAGTAACATTAACAGTTTTAGCTGTTTAGCCTCCACAAAACATCGCAATAAATATCGTACCATGAGATGTATATCGTGAAAATATCGTACCAAGATACTGTTCGTACTGGATATTGTTACATCCCTAATCGTGAGCCTCCCCACCATATTGTGAGCTTTTCCCCCAATATCGCAATAAATATCGTACTGTGAGGTTCATACCGTGACAATATCGTATCGTGAGACTTGGGTATTGTTACACCCCTACAAAGCACCCGAACCAAAACAATTATTACGCCAGACTGTCGATGTAAATGTGAAGTAAAATCAGTCTTGCAGTTGAAGGATTTATGTCTAAGCAGCAGCAGTGACTTGTACTTCCTGATAGAAAACCTTGCAGCGGCGGACTGATATCACCTAGCACCGATCTTACCGACAAAGTAAAATTCCGCTGCTGCTGAAAACATAGTCCCTCAACATGTGACGTTTCATGTGATGCAAGGTTAGTTTTATTTCAAACATTATTCTATCGACACAGACATTTACATGGACAGTCTGGTGTAATAATAGATTTTCTTTGGGTGTTTTGTGGAGTGGGTAAGACTGTTTTTAGCGGCAGGATAACTATGGCCATTGACATGCACTAGCCTAGCACCAGTGACCTCTGCAAATACAAGGACTGGATGGAATATTTTAAAAACTGTCTCCACACGTCTCCAACACTCTGGCTCACTAGGAAATGAGGCCCTATGTCCAAATTCCAAACTGTCCCTTTAACACAGGGGTCTCCAATAGCTCTCCCCCCCTTTTCCAAGTTGTTCGCCAAGGGATGTCTGAATTACAAGTATAGGGTTGAAGTACAATTTGATTAATTACCATTGTAAATCTATCATTTTGATGCCCAGTTTTATGCACTAATAAATGGATAATGGTTTATATTTTATAGGCATCTAACTGTTCCATCTAATGTCTAAGGCTTTTATTTTTACTCAGTTTCTTGCAAGTGTTAAAATAAGAAGCTCTCTGGCATTTTTGTTTTGTAAAGGTAGGAGACCCCTGCTTTAACATATAGTGGTCCTCAATGATGTAAACAAGCATATAATGATAACTCAAAATGTGTCAAAATAAAGAAAATTAACAGTAAAAGACATCTCTACCACAAAAAGGATTATAAATATACAACTAAAAAGCTCAAACGAGGTCTTAACTCACTGAAGTAAGCATGGAATACAATTTAGATTACAACATTTTTGTCATTGTTTTGTCTAATAATCACCATCAATACCACAATTTGCCCTAACACGGCTCTACAAACACATTGAAATGCAGTGTGAGTGAGATGAGAGGAATACCTTGGCCTTTTGGAAGAATTTACACTTGAGAAGCTCTGCAGATGTGGGCCTGCACACAGAGGGAGACAGCGCACAGTGAATATTAAGTGAAGCTTTTGTATTGATTCGAACAGAGCTGGTCACATGATCCCTCACCTTTTGGCAGGATCCTTCTGAAGGCACATGGAGATAAGTTTCCTAAAGGATTTGCCGTACTTCTTCACCAGCTCTTTGTCCTCCACCCCCGTCTCTAGAGTGGGAGGGTCATTCTGGAGCGTCAGCATTAGAACCTGGAATACAATTTGAGATTTGAATTACTGTAAGGGTAAACAATACGGATTTTATTGATACTTTAACATTCTCTGGGGGTGTGATGCTATCCGAGGGCATTGCTCTGTTTGAAGCTCTGTTATTCATCACGGTATCATCATTGTACAGCAATTGTTCAACAATGAAGGCATCAGCTGTTCCTATAGAGTTTCTCAACTTTTACAGTTTTCCAGTAATACCAAGAAAATGTGCAACTCTTTTTGACACCATCTCTTCTGGTGTGAAAATGCTGATGCCCACTCATGTACAAGTTTCTAACGACGGCCCAGCTAAGACAGAGCTGTTTACTGGTAACTCTGACCCGTTTTTACGCATTAAAACGAATAACAAATGTAAGATAAGATAAGATAAGATAATCCTTTATTGTCTCCCATGGGAGAAATTTGTCTTGGGACAGGGGGTAACATGCTTTATCAAAAAATAGGAAAACACAATACAAAGCACCACATAAACAAACACCATAGAACAAAATAAATATGAGACCAAGTATGACCGCGAGTGATGCACCAACAGGACCTTTAAATTATTCTTAACAGGCAAGCCCTTTGCATTCTTGTATTCTATTATTAATTGTACATTTCCTAAGGCTATGTGCAGTTTTGATTGCACAGTCCTGTATAATGTATTAAAAAAAAAAAATTATCACAAGAGAGTCGATCAGTAAACCAGCTTCTGTTTTTGTTTGGAACAATACATTTACAGACATTAACTAGAATGAATATATTTATTTCTACATTATGAATAGAAAATATTTTGTAACTAATAAGACGTGTGAGGTGTGCCTGAAAATCCTGCATAGATGTTCCCCTGTTAACGGCATCATTTAAAAATTTTGCTTAAACAGATAATCTTTGCTCATTCTGTCACAGTGTTGAAGAAATAGTTACCGATATGTTTTGGGAATCCTCATACACTCAAATCTTTTGGAATGACATATTTTTGTCAGTGAATAGAAAGCTTGATACAAACCCACAATTGAATGTAAAACATGTACTTTTTTGGTGCCTTTGAGAAAGCTATTCCTGCAAAAAAAAAATGTGTTGAACAAACACATAGTCCTAATCCTATCAAAATTCCATATACATTGCTGTAAATTTTCTAGTCAGAAACCTGAATTTGTTGTATTTCAGTTCCTCTTGTCCTCTTATATAATGTATTATTTTTAGTTTTTCTGAATTTGTATAATGCAGATTTGCATGTAATGAAAATGTTGTGCATGCTGAGCCCTTCTTGAGCCTCTGGCAGTGTTATTATTTGTACCGTTGTATATTGCATTGTATATTAAAAAAAAAAAAAAAAAAAAAAAAAAAAAAACGGTGGTTAAAATCAAACACCAAAACAGGACCATGAACACTCACATTGACCACAGGTTCCTGAAAATGTGTTGTTTTAATCCATTTTTGTATTTTTTTCTATACTGGTTTCATATTTTATCTTATAACTTTTTTTGTCAGTGTCCGCTAATGTGTGCACTGTGTCACCATGGAAAGTTCTGCACATTCAACCATAGAAATACATGCAGTACAGCCCCAGGTAGAACATAAAGGAGCTGGACTTCACAATTATTTCAGCACAGTCGCCACCTACTGCTGCTGCTGCATCCTTGGACAAAACCAAGGACAAAACAGGACAGAAGGCAGAATGCATTGTCATGGGGCTTTCACCGAGAGCCATCGCAGACTGCAGATGTGTAGAAGCCAATTGTCAAATCAGAACACCATATCAATCTGCCATAAACCAGGTTAGGCCAGTATAAATGTGTATTCATCAGACTTACCTTCATGGGTGGGTAGCGGTGATAGGGCGCAGAACCTGTCGCTAACTCTATGGCCGTGATTCCAAAACTCCAAATGTCGGCTTTAAAATCATAGCCTCGTACCTGCAAAAACAAAATAACGGAATATATACTGCTTATGAAGTTGTTATCGTGAAACTATCTTGAATATAAACAACATAAATTTGCATATACCTGCTCCATGACCTCAGGTGCCATCCAACACGGCGTGCCCACAAATGTCTTTCTAACTTTATGTCTTGTCATATCTCCCCCTGCAGCTAAGAATGCACTGACACCAAAATCTAAAAAAAAACAAGATGCATACATTAGAGTTATGTCAGATCAGTGGTACTTTTTATGACTATTCAAACTATTACTTCTATAGTACATTGAGAAGGATTCATATTATGTATTCTTGTGGTTTTAATTCAATTCTCATGCTTTTGTTCACTTCTTTGGCATATTTCTTTACAACTGTGAATAGTGTATTATATGATATTAATATTAAACTTACTTAACCATGAGGCAACAAATAAAAAATATGTATTCAACAGCTCAATTAAAAACTATATTAATTAGATTTCTTAATGAGCTAATTATGTAAAACAAAAAGTCATGTTTTTGTTCAGATTGAATAAGTATTTCACATTTTCTAACTTAAAATAATATCTACAATAGGAAAACACACTATAACTCAATTTCCAAATTGGCGTTTAGGCGTTGGAGCTCCCCCTGCTGTCAACTACAAGAATGAACCATCAGAAATAAACAAATGAAGTAAGAAAGTTTAATCCTATGCTAATATAGCCATGAATTTGTTCTGAACACAATTTGACCGCAGAATGAGTCCAGAGATTGTTTATCGGCTCAAAAATTGCATAGGAGAAGTCTGGATTTTTACCTATAACGTGACAATTCTGGCAAAATCCAAACAACATTGCTTTTGTTGTAAATTGTTGTTTGGCATGTGTTTTAGAGACTGTTACAATCCAAATTAACAATTATCAAAACAGTTAATGATGTTTTTTTTGTATTCTAGATACAGACAAAATATTATTTATATAACATTTTTGTTTGGGATCATTAAGAGCATTTGATTGTCATTCTCTTAAGTTGCGTAAGATTCATGGAAGCCTCTTGTTTATTTATATTTTAACAACCTGTGTGTATGCTGGCGTGAAAACTGGTTGTTGTAATGTAATAAAGTTCCAAAAGCGTGACAATAAACAACGAGAGAATAGAAAATGCAGTTATTCTCCACACCTGCTATCTGAACAGACCCGTCCTCGCCGAGTAGAATGTTTCCTGCTTTGACATCTCTGCGAAATAAAGACAGATGGCACACATGGTCAGATAACATGTGGCGGGCATTGATTCTTCCGCCCACTACAAGCTGGAGCTGTGCCCAGGGGGGCGCGTCCCACTTTGGCCCGGCTCACTGACCTTCATACAGGCACTACACATCAATTACTGCAATCGCCAGTGCGCTCGGTGCACAGTAACGCGCTGGAGAACTCACTGTGTCTCAAAGCTAATAGACACTTTTATTAAACTCATAAAATATAAAATAAACAACGTATTAAAATTCTAATTAATTTAAATCAAGACTACCCAATTGTTTTTACGTGTCAAATACTTAAAGCTGCACTGTGTAACTTCTCTGGAGGGGGTCCACAACTTGTCTGTTTCCATGGAGATGTTAGTACTTGGGTTTAAATGGAGTGTTGCAGTACTCAAGACCTCTTTTTTACGGTCTTGGTCTTGGTCTCGTATCAGACTCGAGCGCATTTGGACTCGGTCTTGTCTCGGTCTTGGTCTTGTCTCGGACTCGAGGTCTGACACTCGACGAGTGCGATCTTATTTCATTATGGCCGCTAAAAGTGCAGAACTGCAAAAACCAGTAAGATAATGTAACTGTAAATGTTATGAACTTGAAAAAACCCACTTGATTCACTTTGGAGCAGTTTTCTGTAAAGTGAAAGTGGAAGTGGGATTAAAGAAGAGGTTCTCAAAGTGTGGGTGAGGGGAGGGTCCAAAAAAGGGGCGCAGTACAGATTACTTCACCTATTTTAAGATTAAATGAACATTAATCAGATCAAATGGAGAAAACATTGATATATATGTACCAAAATAACTGTAAAATACAAATAAATATAAGGAATGACAAAGACGATCTTGATTTGGTCTAGATAGGCCATAGTCTCGGTCTTGTCTGGGTCTCAACCTTTAAAAGTTTTGGCCTTGTCTTGGTCTCGACCCTCAGAGGTCTTGGTCTTGTCTTGGTCTCGAGACCCTTTAGTCTTGGACCGGGATTGGTCTCTATTACTAAATTAGTTTAAATTGTCCACAGAATGGTATTAAACTACTCTGTATTACATTTATCCAACTATTTATTGCTCAAAAATAGCTTAAAAAACATCCATTCGAGGGGTCGCCTCTCCACAAACCTAACCTGTAATTTAACTTGAGAGAGTCATAAGTTTATGGTCATACTGTGGAACATTCTAGGCACAACATGGAGACAAGCAGGTGACAGACGCTCAAGCAGACAAGTTACACAGTGCATCTTTGAGTTTGCATTGTTGTTTTAATATTTATTATGTCTCAAAATTAGCATTAGCGGTAGCATTAGCATTAGCGGTAGCGTTGAGACGTTGAGAAGTGTCGTCTGCTGAAGAACTAATTTTATTTCTGTACTTTTTAACATGTTGTCAGCCACGTCCACTCAATCTTATTTTTATATTTATCTTTAAATATGTATTAATGTTTGCACGACTCAGCAAAAACCCGTACATACACAACTGGACAGGAAGTCATGATGCTAACAGTCAGCACAGAGCCTATTCGATTGTCGCAACAGATTAGAAAAAGCAATGAAAATGGGGAAAATAATAGTTGTTTTTTTTTAAGCTGTGTACCTGTGGATCTGTCCGTTTCTGTGCAAGTAATCCAGGGCTTCAAGAATTTCTTTTAATATTGTGGCGATAATGGGCTCGTCTAAAGATCGGTTTGGACCTTCTTCGTTTTTGCTAATGTGCTTGAGTATGTCCAACATAGATCCTGGTAAACAAGAAGAAAAAACACACAAAAATACAGATTCATTGTAAATAATATAGTTCATATTTTATATTCTGTTATATATAAAAAGCGCAATGGCAACAGACTGAAAAGAAGATGTACCTTTCATGCAGGCATTAAAAGTATTACAAGACTATTATATATTAGAAAGCATAGAACCAATACACATTAAATACAATATTAAACCTTTGTCTGTTATGTTGTATGTTTCACCCTTGGATCATTATTTTGTACTTTTTGGACATTTTAATTTGCAGTATTGGTCGAAAATGAAAAGAAACAAGTCCACTGGGGAAAACAGGAACTTTTGAAGCAACAACGTCTTGAATAAAGGAGAATAAAGATTCAAAAAGCATGCATGAATTTACCTAAATATAAATTTGTAAGGGGAAATGAGAAGGGGAAACAATTATAACACGCTGTGAACTCTCAAATAAAACTTGCAGATGTATTTGAGCAAACTTAGTCTAATAATATTTTGTATAATCAGCTCTTGAGGTCAAAATAAGCTGTTGCGCACTTTCTGTATCTAATGAATATTAAAGCTTTTTATTGTATAATATAATGGAAGTGCGTGGTTAGCATGCTAGCTGTTGGTAGCTTTACCATGACTGTAACTGCCCTGGTTTCCCTGGCACTGAACAATAATGATGCTCAGAATACATAAGATAAGTGAGGATAACTGCTGAAAATAGTTTAAAATGAACTAATTCTGTTTTTCATGTTTTTAAGACAGTAAAAACCAGGTACAGAGCCTTTAAAAGTCCATTTTGTATCACATGTCTCCATTTACAAAGATAAATAAAATATGATTAGATGCAATATGATACGTACGTACATGTAATGATAAAGTATAGGTAAGATTTATTACTACTAGGGATGTAACGATATCCAAATCTCACAGTACAATATTTATTGCGATATTTTGAAGAGGCTAATATACACTTTTTTGCTTTTAAAATACCATGACAAGATTTTGGTGCGAATTATTTCTGTCACAATCCCAAGAATTCAAGTCAAAAACATATTTCTTCATGTTTTCTGCACTGAAATGAATCATGGGATATGTAGTTCCCTATGTTTATAAGCTGTTGCTGCTGTAAAACCATGCATTTAAGCAATGGAACTTGTGATTCAATATATTGTGACAGCTAACGATATTATTGTGAGACTTTTGATCATACGATATCACAATATTTCGTTTATTGTTACATCCCTAACTACTACATTACACAAAATGGACTCTTGTGAGATTTAAGACGTGTTATAATGTTGTTACCTCCTCATAAACAGACCTGGTGTTGTGTTTTGTTTCATTCGCACATGTTTGACTGCATACACAGTGCTCTGCTCCACCTTGTGATGTGATTTAGCAGTAGTTTTCAAGTTAACAGCTACATTTTACCTTTAGTTCAGTGGAGTGAAGGTGTAGGAAGGAGTGGAGCACTTCCTGTATGTCCACATCACAAGGTGGAACAGAGCGTTTATTATTATTATTATGTTAAACATGTGAATGAAACAAAACACAACTCCAGGTATGTTTTAATGAGGAAACAACATTAAAACACAGAACAGAAAATAGCGTAATATGGTCACTTTATTTTATATTTATTAGCACTCACCTCCACTCAGAAGTTTCATAACTAACCAAAGTTCATCCTTCACGACAAATGAGGTGTAATACGTGACTATATTACGGTGACTGCATTGGCTCATAGCTTGGATTTCTTTCTGTGGAAAAGAAAAAAAAAGACATTTTACAATTAGAGCAACTATACACAAAAATACTGACAGCACGGTACACATATTCTGAACCAAAAATCAAACTCCATGCTAACCAGACATAATAGTACTCAGAATAAAAATGCATGTTTGATTTCTAATTTATTGCTTGCCTGACCAGCCAGTCCCAGACCACAAAGGGTGAAAAACCTCCATCCTAACTTGAGATAATCCATATAATATCTTATACCTGACATAAATAAGAGTTTGGTGCTTCTAGGGGTGTGCAAAAATATCGGAATATCGATATATCGTATCGTTTAATGTGATGATACAGTATCGATATCGTGGGCTACTGTATCGATATATCACCAAGAGTATTTTTGGGTGTATTTTACTAAATTATTTTGTTACAGAGCTACAGTTTTGTTGCTTGTGGAGTGAAAGGAAGCTCATTTATGCGACACATTTGACATTTTTAGTGTTTTGAGGATTAAAATGTTTTGTGTTTCATATGAACTTTGCAACAAAGCAAAGACTTTTAGTATCACAGCCACGATTTAGCCTTTATTTTTTATTGAACCGTATCGAATCCATTTGAAATATATCATATTGAATGGAAAGTGCACTGTATCGAGATATGTATCGTATCGTGGCCGGTGTATTGAGGTATGTATCGTATCGGCAACTTCTTAATGATACCCAGCCCTAGGTGCTTCGATTGCTGATTCTGCAAAAATCCACACTATTTCTCAGTCTTTTTTTTCCCCTTTTTATAATAAGCAGTAGGTGTATAACGATATCCAAGGCTCACGATATGATATTGTCACGGTATGAACCTCACGGTACAATATTTATTGAGATATTGTGGGAAAGCTCACGATATGGTGGGGAGGCTCATGATGATGTAACAATATCCAAATCTCTCGGTATGATATTTTCACGATATACATCTCATGTTTATTGCGATATTTTGTTGAGGCTGCGAACAAAACTGTTAATATGCTGCTTTTTCCTTTTTTAAATGCCTTGGCAAGACTTAATCCAAAGAACTAAGACTTAAAAGTGCTCAGAACTGTTATTTCTTCATGTACTCTACAACAAAATGGAGCAAAGGATCATGGTCTATGTAGTTCCCTCTGTTTTTTAGCTATTGCTGCACCATAACTCTTTCATAATTTAATCAAAAAGACTTGTAATTCGATATATTGTGATGGCCCACGATATTACTGTGAGAACTTTGACGATACGATATCACAATATTTCAATTATTGTTACATTCCTAGTAAGCAGCCATATATTGTTTGTTTTTTTAACGCAAACTGAGCATGCTTCTTTCTGATTGGTTAACCCACATGAAATTGTAGAGACAGGACACGGCTCCAGATCCACTCGTCTTTGTAAAGTTTTGTCAGAGCGTGTTTTTCTGGCCGGTCAGGTAACTTTACTGCGAGTACTACTACATAAAACAAGAACCGGACCCTCATATCTGTAGAGAATCACCACTGATCCTATATCTACTTGGCAATTTGTGCAAATACAGATGTTTATTGAGCTGTACATTGCGCTGAAGCTAAAGTCAATGCATTGCTCTTTGACCCTCATTTGTAATACCCGTGCACAGCAATACAATGGACATACCCAAACATACATTCTCCATAATCCATAACAATACGTGTCTGAGGCCCCAGCACTTCGATTCCTCACTTGAATCATTGCTCCTGTCTTTTGCACTTCCTGTCTGTCTACTGTCAATGTAACACGAGGGGGTAAGATACGAACAATGCAAGGCCTATGCTGAGAATAGACAGTCTACACGGAGCAAAGTTGTTGTTTTTTTCCATTTTAGTTGCAATATGATGATTTTAAAGGCTTTCTTGTGGCTGTAACTGATCATATATGGTATACAATTGTATGTTTTGTTTTTTATACAATAACTACCAACAAAAACACTTCTTATAAAACATGGTAAACCTTTCTGGACCATCTACCTCGGGACTTGGCTAATGTACTTCAAAACAAAGGCTCTTATTTTGTCTTTCATTTTAACCAATAACTTTGCAATGTGTACATCTTAGTTCTGACTCAATAAACACTTTACAGTAATAGTTTTAGTATTGCAGGGTAATAGCATCGTACCACATGCTTCATACATTGTTAGAATTACTTTTTACCAAGAAGAAACTGCAATATCTATAATTATACATTCACTTTCTATCCTATTACTACATATTGGTGTGTTTTTTTAATAATCAGTGACTGTAACTACTGCAATTGGCATTATGTGCTGTAGCCTATGTCCTTTTTTAGAATAGGTAACAATATATTGTCAAGAGAAGCAAGCTTGAAAGAAAGAAAAGGGATGTAACAATATCCAAATCTCTCGGTACAATATTATCATGATATACATCTCACGGTACAATATTTATTGCGATATTTTGAAGAGGCTGATATAATTGCAGATAGGACATGTTTCGGCTTTTAAAATACCTTGACAAAATTTGGGTGTGAATTATTTCTGCCATAATCCCAAGAATTCAAGTAAAAAACCTATCTCTTCATGTTGTTTGCTTTGAAATGAATCATGGGATATGTAGTTCCCGATGTTTATAAGCTACTATAAAACCGTGCATTTAAGCAAAGGAACTTGTGATTCGATATATTGTGACAGCACATGATATTATTGTGAAACTTTTGACTAGAGGTGGGACCAAGTCTTTGTTTTGCAAGTCTCAAGTAAGTCTCAAGTTCAAGTCAAGTCCCAAGTCAAATACAGGAAAGTCCAAGTCGAGTCTCAAGTCATCTGCTTTGTCATTTCATGTCTTTAAACCAAAAGACCAAATATAACTTAGATTTTTGCAATTTATATGATTTTTAAACTAAACTGTACTTTAAAAAACTCTAAGAGTTGTAAATGTAAATGTCTTGACAAGATCGCAAATTATTACAGTCAGAACAGAAAAAGTTCAGGTTTAAGAGTGCTTAATAACAGTTCATTTGCCAACTAGTCTAAGCATCAAGTCTTCTCAAGTCACAGCCCTCAAGTCCGAGTCGAGGTCCAAGTCTTTGTCTATTTTATCAAGTCAAGTCTCAAGTCCTAAAAGTAGTGACTCATGTCTGACTCATGTCCACCTGTGCAATTTGCAAGTCCTCAACTCTGCTTTTGACGAATGGATATCACAATATTTCGGTTATTGTTACATCCCTAGTTTCTTAATAAAAATTTGCACTGTACAACAAAGAGCAATATGATTCAGCGATTCAAAGAAATGTATTGTCTCATAACTTTTTTGGAGGAGTGTCCACCATCTGCTTGTCTCATTGTGATGTCACTGCTTTGACATCGCCATGAGACAAATATATCTTGCATTTATTCATTTACAGGTGTTTTTATTGCTCATGACTAACGCAAAAACGTGCATTCTTACTGCGAGCTGGTCCACTTCTCCACAGATCTGACCTGTAAGTTGGCCTTGCTTGTCTCAATGGTGATAGTAAATTTAATTGCCATACAGTGGAACATTCCAGGGAAAAACAATAACATTTACATGAAGTCAAGTAGGTGGTGGACCAGGTTCTGTAGTGCTGAGTTATTTTTTATGTATACACTAGAGGTCAAAGGTTTTAGAACACCCTAATTTTTCCAGTTATTTATTGCAATTCAAGTCGTGCAAGTCCAATGAAGAGCTTGAAATGGTACAAAGGTAAAAACTGAACAGCCAGAGCTTAAAAAAAAAAAGATAAAAGATACAAAACACTACAAAACACAAGTCCAAGCTCTGCCAAAACTACCTCAGGAAAAAAGAACAAGATGGTAAAGCTTGAAAACATGGAGTGTCCAGACTTAAACCCCATCGAGTTGGTTTTGGGGATGAACTGGACAGAAGAGTAAAAGCCAAGCAACCTACAAGTGTCACACATTTATGAAAACTTCTGCAACAGACTTGGGAAGAACTTTCTGAAGAATATTTGATTTCTGTTGTAAAAAGAACGAGCCACGAGTGTGTTCAGCTGTTATATCTGCCAAAGGTGGACACTTTCATGAATCAAAAGTTTAAGTAAACAGTAAAAAAAACTGAAAAAAGTGGCAGTGTATACAAAAATAAGAATAATCTCCTCTGTGTTGACCCTCCACCGTGTAGCTTCAGCACAACAGTAAAAGGGACAGTGGGGTGGTAGGTGAACGGGTTTGGGTAACGCTTCAATACAGCCCCTATAGTAGCAGCTGAGGTTGAAAAAACAGCCCTTATTTCTTATTATTTAGTTATTTGTCTCACCAGCAGCTCGTCCATGCTGGTCTGGCACTTCTCCAGGTTGATCCTCTTGATGGCCACTCTCTCCTGTCTGGGCGTACAGAGGGCAGCCTGCACCACAGCTGTAGCCCCGCTCCCTGCAAGGCAAAAAAGTGAAAAAATAAACAAAAGCAATAGGAGATTTGACACATAATTCAGCTTTTTACTGTCTGGAGATGCAGGGTTAACACTTTGTGATGTGTTTTTACTCCATACACTTTCACTAGAATGATTTTGGATCATTTCAACCCTGGAATTGACAATCTCTACTGAACTAAAGTAAAAAGTAGCAGTTACCATTAAACAAAACACAACTCCAAGTCTGTTTTTGAGATTATAACATGGTTTAAATAAAGCTCACAGGAGTCAAGTTTGCATAACACGGGACCTTTAATAATTAGTTTGTTATGAAATAAGTTGTCATGGTTCATGTTTTGAAGTGGTTGGTCCATTTTGTCATGTGGAAAAAGAGGGAGGAAGTTCTTTAATAACAAAAAAAAAAAAAAAAAAACCCCAAAACCCATTCATCCATCCATTTTCTTCCGCTTATCTGATGCCAGGTCACGGGGGCAGCAGTCTAAGCAGGGACTCCCAGACTTCCTTCACCCCAGACACGTCCTCCAGCTCCTCCGGGGGAACCCAAAAACCCAAAAACCCCAAAATCCAAAAACCCCAAAATCCAAAAACTCCAAAATCCAAAAATCCAAAATCCAAAATCCAAAAATCAAAACTAAACTGTCATTGTCAATGTCTTTTCTTGTCATTCCAGTTTAGTTTTGATTTTTGTAATTTTAGATTTATGGATTTTTGTGTCTTTTTGTTTGTTATTAAAGAACTTCAACTGCAGTCGTGCATTTTAGGTCCTCCCTCTGTTTCTATGTGACATAAGTGTTGCTGATGGATTTGCTTGGTCTTCAAAGTTCAACTTAGGGCAAAAAGGAACCATCATATTAACAGAAGATAAAGTATAAAAGAGTTACCATAGATACAAGTTGAGTAACCATGCTATTTCTATCCTAACAATGCTATAACTGTCATATAACTGAAGAGAAAAGTGAAACTTTGTGTGTAACTTCACAACCAACACAGAAAAACTGAAAACAGAAAAGAAAAATGAAAATGTTAAACCGCAACTGTGCAGAGAGACTACTGCAAGTGTTAGCAGCCAAAATAAAAGTCTACTGTAATGGAATAGCCCAGTTTGCACCTCAGAGAAGAAGTGTCAATAACAGATAAGAGAAACTAAAAACACAAAGGCAGCAGGGCCATGTGTGATTATCTCGTCCAGAGGCAAACAGCTGTAGGTGTTATCAGAGCGATAGGGCAGCTCATCTGCTCAGTGTACGGCCCTGTCAAAAATACTGTATCAACACGTCAATGGAGGCTCACTCTGACTGTTAGAGCTGCTGTCAGAGGTATTACACTGTTTATGGAAGGCCCCTCTACTTTATTGAGTTTGTGAGCACTTTGTACATACTTTACTCTTGCCTCCTGAAATGGCTGACCACATGATGAGTTTTACATATTTTAGTTCCCATATTTGTTTCTTGCTTCTCCAAAGAAGGGTTTTGCTGACAGTAGGCCAACATTATAGGCTATTCTAGGAGGCCACTACCAAAACAATTCATAGACTGAGCGTTACTAAAGACTGCCATTTAACCTTTAGGCCTATATATAGCTACAGGCTGTGTAACATCATAATGAAATGGTAACAGCGTGTCTAAAATGTCACTGACGTGAAGGCTCGGCTTATTGTCCCGGTCCCACACGTGCCGCTGCTCCGCTCTGTGCCCGGGCTCAGAGCCAGAGTCCTCCGGGTGAGAGACAGAGACAGCGGTGAGGTGATTATCTGACCCATCCTCGCCTCACTCAGGGGGTAAAGGACATGAGAGCCCCGAGCTGCTTCGTCACCGGTGCCCCGCACATCTGCTACAGCTCCGGTGCTCAGGAACTGTGCGTGTCACATCCGCATAGCTCCGCTACGTGAAAAAGCCGGTAGGCCCTAAACGTCAGAGGCGCTCTGACACAGCGCGGATACAGAGTATGATACTAACCTATGACTTCCTGCAGCTCGTACGACTCCCTGGTGATGGGCCAGGCGGTTGTCAGCGGGGGGACAGCGGCCGGAGATTCGACTTGATCCGCCATGATGGTGGGATGCTGCTGAGCGAGGAGCAGCCTGAGGCGGCCGGAGGCGCGGAGAGTCTGTTCGGTGTGACCTCTCCTCCTCCCGAGTCCCGAGCACAAGTGTCAGCTGGCGCACAGCACTGGCGCACAGCTCTGCCGCTGTCCGCCTGAACAACCCGGAAAATAACGGTGCACACGCAGCGCACGCAGGCGCGCACATCCGCACGCACCTCCGCTCTGCACAGTCACTCAGGCGCTTAAAGGACCCGTAGGATTCATTACACCGGATTTGTGATTTAGTGCGCTCTGCTGGGCTCAAAATGCGACTGGGGTTCGTCACAACGGGATATTTTATATGTTGATGATATATATACACATTATATACATATATACATATATACAGCCTAAGTGTATAGAGGGACGGAAAATAAAACAAACTTTGTCTACGCTACTTTTTGGGTCGATTTTTTAATCATTTAACTGAAAATACTTTACCACTGTTAAGTCCAACCTCCGGTAATTGTAGCCTAGAAGTAGTAGTAGTACAAGGCCCTAGTGGTAGTAGTTGTAGTAGTAGTAGAAGAAGCATAGCATGCTAGTAGCAGTAGTAGTATTTACCTTAGTAGATTGTTGCCTTTTGTTGCAAATCTTATTACAATTTAAACCAGCACCACAAGATTAATTGCCAAATTTGAGAGCTTATTTTATTATTTCTATGACGACTTCACTTCCTGTAAATGATTTGCATCAGGGCAAGACAAATAAAAATAATTCAGTGATCCAATCTGGAATTTTGTCCACACCTAAAGAATAGCCTAAATAGTTTTTTAAGAGTAGGCCCATTACTCCACTCAGATTATCAAACATATTCGTTTAAGTTTTTAACAGTTTACGAGCAGAAACGTGAGCACGTGCAGTTATTCATATTGACCAGTAGATGGCGTTATCGGGCTTCAAAATGTCAGGGAGACAACCTCAGTCAAAACCCCACACAACAGCGACACATATTTAGTTAATTGAAACTTACTCTGACAAAATCATCAGTTTTAAACAAAATCTGAAAGATGAAACGTAAGACTGTGTGTCAAAATAAGATAATTCCATTTCAGGTCTTGACCCGAAGTCACTAAATATTACGCCACAGAGCTACTGATACTCTAAGACCATATCACAGGAAGATAGTGAAAAAGAAACAGTTCAAAGTTGTTTTTGTTTATTTATTTGTTTTTTGTTTTGTTTTGTTTTTTTTCTGGGGATGACCGTTCGGTCTATTTTTAGTCACAGACTCTAGGGGGCTTAGACTAAAATGAGTTTGGTGATTTGAGCCAAACGGGACAAAATGATGGGAGCTCTTCAGGCTACTGAAGTTAGACCACACCAAATATGTCTCATCTGGCTTTTAAGGGTTATTATAATTATCTTAATTTATAAGAAATTAAATAAGGTCCCCTCCAGCGCGCAGCAGAGCGCGCAGACCCCATGATCAGAGCCGCTCTCCTGGTTGCTCCAGTGGCGCTGTGTGACGTCTCCCAGCACCAATCAGGAGCGCAGACGCGGACAGAGCGGCCCTTCCTCCGCGGTGAGGGGAAGCGGACGGATCTCCGCGGATAACTGCTCATCACAGCCTCGGTACAGCCCACAGTAGTGTCCACGGTACTGCCGAGCGGCACGCTCCCATCAGAGAGACCGTCCTCCTCTTCTGTTCTGCCCGCTGCGACAGGCACCGCTGCGGAGACATGTCCGGGATCCTGGCCTGGTTTTGGAACGAGAGGTTCTGGTTGCCTCATAACGTAACCTGGGCTGACTTAAAGAACACAGAGGAGGCAACCTTCCCGCAAGCCGAGGACCTGTATCTGGCGTGTCCTTTAGCTTTCTGCATCTTTATGATCCGGCTCGTGTTCGAACGGTAGGTGCATTAACCGAGCCACAATTTCACTAGAAACTCCCACTACTACGAGCTGCGGGGATTTAGTGAGTGATCTGGCACGCGCCGCTGTCCTGCGTGTGGCAGTCTGGTACCTAAACAATGGCATCTTATCTGGTTAGCCCTCTCCCTCTCACACATCAGCGGCTGATCCTGCTCATCTGCAGGCCCGCAGCAGCAGCAGCGCTGTCTGCACTGTCTGTGCAGTGAGCCTGTACCGAGCCCGCACCGGGACCCCGGCCCATCCTCACGCCCAGAGGAGCTCCTGTGGTCCCGTGTGCTTAAACAGAATACAGATAGTGCTGCTGGAGCCCAGCACGCTGCACTGTCACTGATACAGCGAGGTGATGGTCAGAGCAGCGTACATATGTGGGTCAGGACTCCTCTGGGACACACAGTTCTTAATATTCCTCTAAACTCTCCATCGCCTTCAATATTTATACCACAGCAAACACAGTCAACCTGTAAATAATACAGCAAGGTCAGACAGCATCCATGTGTGAGGATCTACAAAAGATGTGTCTGTCATTTCCCTGCCCTGAGATAGGACACGTGGAGACTTCATTATGAGGAGGGCTATAAGGGTTTATTTCCACATTTTGTTTTCTCACCGTGGAAAGAGATCATGCATTTTTGTGAGAGTGAAATTGACAGTGAAATTGTGGATTCCATTGAAGAAGAGAGTGACATATCAGTTCTTTCATATTATTGCCATTACCATTATTAGACTACTAAATATATTATGTTTTTTTTTTTTTTTCCAGGTTTATCGCAAGACCATGTGCGATGGGCCTGAAGATCCAAGCCAACGGACCTCAGAAAGCTCAACCCAACGCCATCCTGGAGAAGGTCTTCACCGCTATCACCAAGGTCTGTTCACATCTCATTTCCTAATTCAGTCCCTTTCATCCATAATAGAAAACTTAAATTATTCCCTGTATTTTTAGCACCCCGATGAGAAGAGACTGGAGGGTCTGTCCAAGCAGCTGGACTGGGACGTACGGACGATCCAGCGCTGGTTCCGACAACGCCGTAACCAGGAAAAGCCCAGTACTTTGACCCGGTTCTGTGAAAGCATGTAAGTACTTTTAAAACACCAGCGCTGTTCTGCCAATTTGACTATTTTCAAATCAGGCATGACATTTTGTTTGATGGATTACCTAGTATGACTATATGGAAATGAAGTTTACCTTTGTGGGCACTTGGTCACCTGCTCTACAGACAGGTTGATAAATGGAGCAAGACAAGAGACAGTCCTACAGGCAGAAGTATCAATAATTATGTAAGGTTTTAGCAGTTTTAGTGACAAAGGTAAAACACAGATGTGGGTAGAGCTCTGTTCTATTTAAAGCTCCGATATTGCGCAAAATTGACTCTTTTGAGCTTTAAGCCATGTTAAAATGTTGACACCTCCTCAAAAACAAACCTGAAGTTAAGTCTCTGCAATTAATTGAATTTTGATTGCGATTTCGATATGTGTCAGACAATCTACGAACTCATATAATCGAGTTTTAAAGCTTTTTAAAATATAAATAAGTATATTTATTTTACTTTTTAAATGTAGAGATTGTAGAACAGCTGGATATATAGTTTATTTTGGATACATTTATGTTTTTCTTTGCCTTATTTCATGTTTAAACTATATTTTATTCACTTTATGTTTTATACATCGCACAAAACTGCTCTAAGGTTCATATTTGTTAGTCAGGCTGGCACCACCTAGTGCCTTCGCTCAATTTAATTTCTTTCCAGCGACTAGATAAGGAATGAGAATACAATAGACGGTTCGCAAAAACCCCAAATATGCGAGTTCAGGCACCAGCCAATCAGCGAAGAGCCATACATTCTGTGTTGGCAACAATTCCCGAGATCAAGGATTTAAAGCCGGAACAAAGAGAATGTTTGGTGAATTTTATCAAGGGGAAAGACGTTATTGACTTTCTTCCTACAGGATTTGGGAAAAGCCACGATCAAATAGCAGTAATTTGTTAAATGAAAAAAATACCCGCCTACCGTCGAGTGAACGAATTCTAATGTTGCGAAGTGTTTAGTGTTTTTTTTTTTGTTTTTTTTTTCAGAAATGCTAAATAGATGCATTGTGTAACTAAAAAATAATCGTTTGAATAATCGTGATTTCAATATTGACCAAAATAATCGTGATAATGTTTTTTGTTTGTTTTTTTACGTAATCGAGCAGCCCTGCCTGAAGTTGTGTTTTTGTTTCATTCACACATCTTTGAATAACTCCTTATTATTAGTCTGTCTACATCTCCAAAGCTCCAACATGCTCTGTTCCACCTTGTGATGTCAGGAAGCTGTAGTTTTCATGTTAAGAGCTCCTTTTACCTTCTGTTCAGTAGAGATCGGAAATTCCAGCGCTGAAATGATCCAAATGATTGTAGTGAAGGTGTGTGGAGTTTAAAAACAGAGTGGAAAGTCTCCTGCTCCACCCACAGTCCATGCCGGGATTAGAGACATTCTGTATTTTGTCAACATGGAAAAAGTACGATGTACTCTTGGGGGGGTCAGTGAAGACTTTTAAGAAAACGTAGGCTCCATTTTTTCACTTTGTTGATTCAATTTTTTCTCTTTGTTGGTTCCATTTTTTCACTTTTCATTTTCCCTCTGGTCCAGAATGATGTTTTTCACTCTTTTCTTTGACTGATTCTTATCTCACTCTCCCTTTTCAACTTTTTTTTTGCTGCGTGTGTGTGTGTTTTACTCAGCATTTTCAGCGTCTTTATCTAAATATTTTACCCTGACAATGCTGATATTTGAAAAAAAAAAAAAAATTGTAATAAAAACACAGCGAGGCTCTTCCTGCATTACAACATGACATCATTTTTCTGTTTGAGAAATGTGTGGAAGAAACAAAACACAACTCCATTTATGTTTGTCATGACGAAACAAAATAATACCAAAGATCAGAAATAGTGTAATATGGGCCCATTAATGTTGAATAACCTTTAAAAAATTCTTCTTCTTGTATAGTTTTTTTGGATTAATGAATCAATCAACAACTTTATTCTCAAAGGGCAATTCAGTTGGCACATCTCTGGTCGTGCACAGTCTATAAATAATAAAAGAAAAACAGATGCTATACCTTCAAACCTCAGTGCATCAGGGACACAACAGCAAATTCACTTTCCATTTAAAAACTTTATGGCAGAAGGAATAAAAGTCACAAGTCCAGTCACACATGCTTTTTTGAATACTTTTATACCAAATACCTTTTTTCTTCTTACTCTTTCTTGGACCAGTTTGTACTTCTGCATGAGTAATCCTGTAATTCTGAAGTAACATTCATCTTGCTTGAATTTCTGGCTAAATATATTCTTGGCTAAAATGTGAAACTTGGAAGTTGATATTGTTTTTGAAAAGCAGAACAGTAATTTTCAACTCAAATCACAGTAGTTTCTCTAGTAGTAGGTTATCATATGTTCTTATACTAGCTGAGACTGTTATAGATTAAAAAAATACTCAGTTAATGTCCAATTTAGTCCTTTTTTATCTGATTTTTTTTGTTTGTTTGTTTGTTTTGATACTGACTGGCAATAATAAATATGGTCGACCTACTAAAGCAGTGGAAAATGGGCAGTGAGTTTTTTTCTAAAATGTTTTTATTGGCTTTTTTGTTTGAGTCATTTCAAATCAATCGTGGTTCAGATATAGAGAAAGTAGGGATGTAACGATATCCAAATCTCACGGTACGATATTTATGCGATATTTTGGAGATAGATAGGACACTTTTTTGTTTTTAAAATACCTTGGCAAGATTTTGGTGTGAATTATTTCTGTCATAATCCCAAGAATTCTAGTAAAAACATATCTCTTCATGTTGTTTGCGCTGAAATGAATCATGGGAGATGTAGTTTCAGATGTTTATAAGATGTTTCTACTATAAAACCATACATTTAAGCTAAGAAAAAGTAAGAAAAAAATCAATTCAGTTATATATCATGGTACTTCACTGCACAATTCTCGAATCGATTCAAAATGGATCCGAATCGATTTTTTATTTTTTTTTATTTCACAAAAATTCCTTCACTGAATTTTTCTGTTCTCTTCACTGTTTCATGATTTAAAAATAAATATAAAAGTGATAATTCATACAGCTGTGTTCTCTTGAAGGTGTAGTTGACTGTATTATTAGAAGTAATTACTCATAAATCGCAATATATGATCCACTGTTTTAGTATCGGGATGTATCGTGATATATTGAATCGTGACACGTGAATCATGATATGTGTCGTATCGTCAGACTCGAGGCAATGCACACCCTTAATTTAAGCAAAGGAACTTGTAATTCAATATGTTATGATGGTCTATGATATGACTGTGAGACTTATTGTTACATCCCTATTAAACACAATACAGTTTCTATGATAAAATTGCATAGAAGAAGAAAACTTTTGAATTATACGTATCTCAAAATAGAGCCATTAAGTTCTTACACATTACACATTAAATATTGATTTGCTTATAATGAGTCCAATAATAGTCTGGCTGTGGGTTGCACTGAAAAAGTATTACTGTATAAAGTGAAATAGGTTACTGTTTATAATTTCATTGTTTCATTCACATGTAAAAAAAAACAGAAACCCTGCAAAATTAGGCTGAGCTTTTCTCTCAAACTGAAAAAACTCTGTTCCACCTTATGATGTCATTTGGTAATACAGCAAGTGCTCCACTGTGTTTTTGTTTTTTTGTTTTTAGAGTCCATACACCTTCACTAAAATCATTTGGATAATTTCAGCCCATGTCTACTAAACAAAAAGTAAAACTACCACTACATGACATCACAAGGTGGAACAGAGCATTTTGAGCTTTGGAAAAGTAGACAGACTAATAATAAAGTATTACTCAAACATGTGTGAATGAAACAAAACACAACTCGAGGTAGGTTTTTGATGAGGGAACACCATTCTAACATGGATTGAAGCTCACAAGAGTCAATTCTGCATAATATAGGAGCTTTTAAATTTTGCATTGCTAAAACAATCGTTACTGGTGAAAGGACAGAGAAGGTTTCAAAAGTAGTAATGTGGACAATAGTTCTGAAATCAAGTCATTTTCAATCTAAAAGTACTGGTCTGAGGAGCTAAAAGGTACTTCAAGTTTTCTGGTGGAGGGTCTGTTAAATGCTTTTCTCCATGGAGGTGTTATTGCTTTGTCTGGAATTTTTCACTGTATGGTATTAAATAGACCTGGGCGATATGGAGCAAAAAATATATCTTGATATTTTGCTATATCTCGATTTACAATATACTATATCTTGATATCTGTACAGAAAAAATAACCCCCCAAAAACAACTGCAAAAACAAACAAATTCTAATAAGGTCTTATTTTTAGAAACAGTGCTTCTGCGACAAGAAAAAATAAATAAAATCCCTGTATACAAAAGTAATAATTTAACTGTAAAATAAAGGAAGAAATAATACTTACTGTCTTCTTTACATCTCAACTCAACTCAGGCTCATCTTTGCATTAACTCGTCTTTGCATTAACCATACAATAACCAGAACCATGAGCTCCTTCAGCAGAAGAAGCTCTGGAGGTTTCTTATTTTAATACATCCATGTTTCTCACTAGCTGTAAGGAGCTCTGAGGTTTCCCACAATCCACTGCACAGATCAAACCAAACGTTTCCAAACACTATTGTACAAGTTTTACACTGCAGCAGATTCTTAATTAAAATCTTCTGCATAAATAAACTTTACATTACTAAACTTTAAAACTTATAAAGCATAGAGCCACATCAGCCCGTTTGAGATTATAATGTGTGTAATGCAGCTTTGAGCATATGTGTTTGTTTTACAGAAACAAAACTTAAAACCACATGGCTCATTTGCATAAACTATAAACGCTGGGGGAAAAAACAGCTTGCTTCTTGTACTGGGCGAGCACAGAGAAGGCAATCAAATGAATTAAATATAAGCATTATATTGATATATACAATATGTTAGAATATATTTCCTGTTTAAAAAATATTTTGATATACTTTAAATATTGAGATATCGCCCACCCCTAGTATTAAACCTTTCTATTTCATGGAGACCAAACCAGACCAAGCAGAA